ACTAGTTGAGGAGAAACATTATTCCGCATTTCTATATATATATATATATATATATGAAATGACTATGAAAGGACTGCAATATTTCAACATTTTCGCGTTCATGCTATCTGTTCCAAAAGCTTTAGTCCGAATATTATGGAAGGTATTGTTGACCTCTTCAATAGTAATCAACCTAAATGAAAAATGACATTGTGAATCTTGAACTGTTTCATTGAAAAACTTTGTTTTTTATCACAATTACTGGTTAATCATCGAAACTGAGACCTATTTTGAGCCTAAGAACTAATCGTACTATGAAAATGGTATAGAAAAATTGTTTAGCCGCTTCAATCGTTGTATCGCCCTGGAAGGCAATTTTATTTTGGATAATAAATAAAATTTTCTCATAAAAAGGTTTTTTCTATGGTCTCCTACCAACTTTTCAGCCCTACTGTTATCTTTCACTGTGTACGAGATCCCCATGCATAAACTAAAATTGCAATACCCCTGTAATACGCCTTGTGCTACTTTTACTATACTATGTTACTATGTCATACGATACGGAAATCGAAACCATTCAGAGCTGGTCATTATCCTGAAACCTTACAAGATTATATTTACATTTCCTTGTTACGCATTCAACCAAATAAGCGTATTTTTTGTCATTCAATAAAAAATAAAATCGAATATTCGATTAATTCCACGATGGAAGCGAGTAGTTCTTCTGAATATGACGAATCGTTTTTGAACTGTTCTTAATATTGGTTCAGGAGATATACATTTGAAGATTGAATTTTGCATTGTCTCAGTTTACAAATTCAGTGTTCTGAAGATTGTAAAGGGAAGGCGAATATTTCAGAACAATAATGACCATCGAAATGAGTGGAAGTCCACAATGATATATGATAATGTTGCTTACACAATCAACAATGGATTTTGTTGAGAATATCTTTAATTTTCTCTACACTTACACACATTCCCAAATATTATTTCAAAACGTTATAAATTGATCATTCATAGTGAATAAAGATAATAACTTTTGTCTGATTTCTACAATGAATATTACTGGAGCTTTTTCTCAGCACCAAACCTTTATTTTAACACTTCGACACGTGTTTCGGTCATCAAGTGATCATCTTCAAGGGGAAGATCAGTTTGATTATCCTCTTGAAGATGATCACTCAGTTATCGAAACACGTGTCGAGGTGTTGAAATAAAGGTTTGGTGTTCGGAAAAAAACTAACTACACCAAAGGTTCCAAACAGTGCATCACAAAATGATTTCTACATGTCTATTATTTGTTACAACCAGTTTCGGTTTTTTGTGCCATTTTCAAATAACTGAAAATGTTCTAATAAACCGAAACCGGTCGTAAAAGTTACTTTGTTCATTCTATATAGAAACATATTCAAAATGAGTTGTTCTGAATTCGAATAAAAAAAATCATCATTGGATTTTATCCAGGAATATCTCAATGAAAAACTTGTCACATACGCAGAGATCAAACAAACTGTTTAAAAATCAACTGGTAATCGCTAAGATAGGAATTCTGGGTCAACGAGCTTGATACTACATCGAAATAAAAAACATTTACGTAATACGTATATAATATTCATTTCCCATTTGTTGCTAATAATAATCGCAATGCGATAAGTGAACACTCAATTGATCAACTTGATGAAAATCATGACATTCAGAAAGAATAAAATGAAATGGCGGGATCGAATGGAAATTCCCCAACGATAAGAATCATTATGAGAAATATGAAATGACACTTTCTGTTTTTCATCACTTTTATTTGTAACTAACGGTACTGCAGTTTCGTCCTATAAGAATATTTTCAAACTATCACAGTAAACTTCTCATAGGTCGAAACTGCAGTAACGTTAGTTACAAATAGAAGTGGTAAAAACATAGAAAGTTTTATTTCTAACGACTACATCCATCAATCTGTGGACCAGAGTATATTTACAAACTAACAGAAATTATATACAGTCTCCAAAAAGGATTGTTACACCCAGTGATTTAACTTCTAATACAAAACACTTGCAACCTCCGTAATTTACGATCATAAGTTCATGAAAATGAAAAATCATAATACTAGATACTTTCTGACATTAACTGATACTCTGATTTGGAACTTCTAGATGTTTTGAAACCTGTAATACAATGACACCATAATTTTATTGGTTATAGCAATAGCCAGCTTCATCGGACCAGAACCTGTCATTGGAATCGCTCAAGGCTTTGCCAAACAAAGACTGAAGACCTGGATGGCAAGAAGGTTTATGGGCTTCTGGCAGAATCTTCCAGGATTGGCTCAGTTCAAGGCGTTTATTCACCCTTCGAAGATTGATACCAAACAGTTGTTGGACTATAGTAGGGATGAACGACGATGTTTAACAGACCTTTTCACAGGTCGTTGTGTCGCCTCTGTTTGGAAAATTATGAAACAGCAGGGCGCATACTTTGTGCCTGCTCCGCTGGGGACCGAATCAGTTTTTCAGAATTTGACAAAGCCGTACTCTTACATCTGACCTGAAAGACCACTCACCATGCAAACTAATCAGCTTCTTCAAGAAGCTGGGTTTATTTGGTCGAGTGTGAATAGGTGAGAGCCGTAATAAACCCTTTCGGGTTGCGGTGGAGGATTGAATAGACCCACTCATTTTTCACCTAACCTAACCCAAGAAACCAAGTAAGTCTATGGAAAACAGACCCCAGACCCGTTCCAAAGATGAGGCAAGATCGCAAAATTGATTCTTATTTAGCAATCAAAAGTTCCATCTAAACTTATTATTATTATTCTACACATATCTAAAGGTCGGTCGGTAGCCAAGCGGTTCGGCGTAAGTGATTTGTTCACTCACTCGAATTGACTGCCGTGTTGGTCGGTGGTTCAAGCCCTAGTCTGAACGATCGATTTTCACTTGCTATCGTCCAACCCGTGTTAGGAATCACACGTTAAAAGGTAAGAGCTCGTTATTCCTCAGCTCGCACAAGTTTCGACTTCTGAGGGTTGTCGTTCGTATGGTTGCGACAGCTGGTTAACGAAAAAACAGATTTTAAACATATTTTTAAAGAGATATCTAAAGAAATAAACTTTAACTGTTTAAGGCAGTCTCGGATTCACCTACACAGTAGGTTTAATGGACTGACGCCTATCAGAAAACAACTACTTCCCTGGCTAATACCACGAACAATACATTTCGGCAATACAACTGAAAGAGTCAACCTTCAATTTTGGAACGGGCACACTTGCAGACCGGTTTCAGGCTCCTTAGCCACTCGTCAGTTCAAGATAGTGGCCATCATCCACCTAAAGTCAATGATATTCCATAATTGAAAATCGAAATTTTTCCAGAGTATATCATTCCTCGTCCTGAGTTGGAGCGAACAACAAAAATGTCATCTCATCTAGTGGACGGGAAAATTTTCTGTGAAGATTCCTGCACTGACGCCTGTCGGATATAATCCAACGCCGTTCGTGGTATTAGCCAGGAGAGTAGTTGTTTTCTGATAGGCGTCAGTCCATTCAACCTACTGTGTAGGTATATCCGAGACTGGTTTGAACATTTGAAGTTCATTTCTTTAGATTTGTGTTCTGCCTGTCTTCAAGCATAGCCCACTAACTAATGAGAGACATATTCTACACATTGGTTTGTTAGCATATGACGTCAATTTTGATTGTATCAGTTTCGAACTATATAGATTTCAACCGTAGGTTCTAGTGAATGTGTGCCGGAAAACAACTATTTCCTTTGCTGATACCACGATGGATATTGAATTATATCCGACAGACATTTATGCAAGATATCTCACGGACTTTAGTCTCGCAGATGTTTCTCGTTCATCCAGCAGCAGGACAATGCTGAAATTACTCCAATGGTCACCTACAGACCAGCTTCGAGGTATCAGCTCACATCAGTACAGGAAAGATCCGACCCAAACAGTAAAGTGCCTGAGACTCGATTGATTTCAACGCGGCTCGACTGCATGTATGAAACCGTCGTCTAAGAGGAAGATTGTTAACTAAAAACAGTTCCATTTTGTAAACAAAGCACCAAGCAGGGAAAAACATGTCACGTACCAACATTCCAGCAGAGATCAAACAGTGTTTGAAGGCTGTATGGTATTAGCTGGGGAAGTAGTTGTTTTTCGGCAAGCATTTACGAAAATCTGCGATAGAGATGAATATTTCGAGATTTCGAAATATTTATTTTCAGTGAAAATGATAGGGAGATAGTAAAATCTGATTTGGATCAGTCTCCCGAATTGATACTATTTAGTGATACGAAACTGAGGCAGGTCAGAGTTGATTGAAGGAAATTTTAGTACAGATTTCTTACCAATCAGCAGATCAAACTTTCATCGATGGTTTGAACGATATTTTTGACAATTATCCCAAGAAAGTTTCATATAATNTTTGAATGAAAAATAATTCAAAACTTTTGCGATAAATGCCCTCAACAGACCTGTATCAGGTACATATCCAGAACCTATTTGTCAAGTCTAAAAGCGATATTGACGATACGGTTATTCCACTTATAATCAGCACCTGTATAGAAGATTCTTGTTCAAAATTGTTATAAATCGTATTTGAAAATGGAGGTACATCCAACACCTGTGAACTATTGAAAATTCACATATTATTGAGGAATAACTTATTCAAAATGGGGAACACGAAGTGGCAACAGCGCTTTGAAATCAACCATGTAGACCACCTAGTTTTCGAATTTATAACATAGATTTGAGATGCTTTAAAAAACTTGACAAAATATATAACAATACAGAACAATGAAATCAAGACAACGAAGTGGATCAACAGATCTTTAATAAACTCAAAACAAATGATATTCTTGATTTCATAGGTCGAAGAAAAAACGACAGAATGAAATATTCGAACAATAATTCAATGCGAATAAAAAATAGGTACTCAAAAATAGATTTTTGGAACCAAAAACAAATACTACAAAAATAAAATAGAAAATGAAGAAACGAATCGAGACAGCATTCAGAAATAGTAATACAATACCAAGATGGATATATAAACTTCAACAAGAGTGAAAGTTTCAATCACTTTTTCATTTACTTTGAAAGTGAATTGGAAAAAATAAATGATAACCTAGGCCGAAACTACGCATTCATTTCAAGTTTGTTGTCAACTGCAAAATACCTATTTGTTTTCACTTTATTATCGTTAACATGTATATAATAACTTGTATTTCTTCGGAGTCGCAATTGAAAGAACTTGGTCATTAGAATTTCACAAAATAGTGAAAAAGTCATAATAAACCGTACTTTTCCAGAAAATTTTTTATGTCGTCCATCTCACCAACCAATTTTTTCAGTAATCTAATTCAACAATATCACATATTTTTCCAACGATTCAAATCATACGATTGTTTTTCACTGATATCATTAAGAAACTACTTACATTGACCTCATGGGGCAACTCATATTTTGTTTTGGTGTTTCTCACAACACTCCGTGCAACTAACTGAATTTCAAATTCGAATTGGCGTCTATCTCTATCTGTAAATCGTTTGCTCAACCGGCTTGACGTAATTTGTTAAAGAAACATAGACTCTATATCTTCCAAAATATCAAATAACTGTGTAGTTTCACATGCACCATATACGTAATACATTCTTTTGAACAACAAAAATGCTATTTCCATAATTTGTACTTGTATATATTTACAGTTCGGAAACTGATACTTCTAGAGAAAACCACAAAACGGTGTAGTTTGAACTTACATCAATTGGTTGCATTAGTTTCAAACCACTCAATTACTTTTACAATTAAAGCATGCAGAAATTTTCATAAGGTTCAAAACCTCTCATTTCTTCTTGATTTTCATTTTATATTTCTTTGAATTTGCATTTACACAAATGATTATAATATTTAAGAGAGATTACTTTTTTGGGGAATGTGGGAATCTTCCAAAGAAAGGAAGAAAGCGATCAATTTCAAAAAGTTAACTTTATACAAAGATGTATAGATAATGCCAAGAAGTAACTTTCAGTCACACACTGGGGAAAAAAGTCCTTTCGAAACAACTCCTTTCATATCAACATTGAATTACACGAAACAAAAATACTTTCGGAAAAACTTCTCGAACTTTCATATGAACTGAATAACTGAAAAGACGTTTCTCTATTCAGTTTGTATTCGTTATGGAATTGGATAAGATGCTATTCATAGGATTGCTACTCAATATAGTAAATGAAAGATGTATGGTGGACAT